GAAAGGCGAGAAAAACTACCAGGCAAAGGAAGGAGGAAATCGTCCGAGAAGGGAAGCAGGAAGATCGAGACGTGGAAATGCCTGCGAAGGAAAAGGATGAAAGGCGAAAAGAAGAGACAGAAGAGGCAAGAAAAGAAAGATGTCGAAAGGAAAAATTATACAAAGATAAATGAAGAACGAAAAAAAGGCAAGCCATATGAAAATAAAAAATCGCTGGAACCTGAGAAAATGAAAATAAAAGACGGAAAAAAAGAAAAGGAAGAAACGAGAAAACAATACAAAACAAGGGAAAGATCCAAAAGAAAATAAAAAAGATAAAGAAGAGAAAGAAAAGCAGGGACGAGAGGCAAATCTTGCTTCTCGAATCACCCGGGACAAAGGGAAGCCATTTGTTGCATGTTGGCAATCTCCGGCGGGCAGGGCGGGGGGGGGTCAGAGATAGGCTGAGGGAGGGGGCGTGGCGGAGAACCAAGAAAAAGAGAGGAAACAAAACAAAAAAAGCGTAATAGGAGAGGAAACGATATCTTATAGGGGTTATATTCGTAGATGTAAGATATGGTGCGAATAGTAATGATAGTAATATTCTATACTATTATGATATGATAATGATGATGATGATTATGTTGATGTTGATTTGATGATGGTGTTGGTGGTGGTGGTGGTGGTGATGATGATGATGATGATGATGATGATGATGATGATGATGATGATGATGATGATGATGATGATGATGATGATCATGATGCTTTGCCACCATGATGATGTGATGGCGATGATGTTGATTTAATGATGATGATAATAACAATAATATTAATGATATCAATAAACAAACACCCCACTACTAACAGTCGCCCCAAAACAAAGCAAAGGCCGAGGCGCCCCGCGAGCCCTGGCCAGCCACTCACACTCGCCGGTGGGGACCTTCCGCTCCTTGTACAGGTCAGTGAGGAAGAGGCTGTTGACGAGCGTGGACTTGCCGAGCCCCGCCTCGCCCACCACCATGAGCGTGAAGTCGAACCCTCGCTTCACGCTCTTTCGGTGCACCTGCTCCGGCAGCGTCGCGAACCCGATGAACTCCTGCGTGTTCTGCAAAGGGTAGAAAGGGGGTGAGAACAGTTTGTGGTGGGGGGTAGGGGGGGGGGAGGGGGGAGTGAGTTCTTCGAGGAGGGAGGGGGAGGGGAGAGGGGGTCGTGATTCTGGGCGGGGGGGGCGGAGGAGGGCGTGGTGGGCTTTGCTGAACTCCTGCAAAGGGTAGAAAGGGGGTGAGAACAATTTGTGGTGGGTGGGGTGGGTGGGGGTGGGGGGGAGGGCCCTGATTCTGGGCGGGAGACGGGCGGAGAAGGGTACGGCTGGGGGGGGGGGGGGGGGGTGTCGGAGGGGGGAGCGCTTTGCGACAACTCGAATTTCTGGATTTCGAAGGACGGGCGGATGGGCGGAAATTAATATCGCGGCGGGCGCTGCGCTTGGGAACTGCCGGGGAAGAAGTGATGGAGGTTGGGGCTGAGCGATAAGGCTCATGTCGGATTTCGTTTTGCTTTCTTAGGTTTCATAGTGCGTGTGCGTGTGTGTGTGCGTGTGTTGTGTGTGTGCGTGTGCGTGTGTGTGTGCGTGTGTTTTGTGTGTGTGCGTGTGCGTGCGTATGCGTATGCGTGTGCGTGTGCGTGTGCGTGTGTCCGACCTGAAAGCGGACCGAGGCGAGCACGGAGAAGGACCGCCCGCCCCCGCCGCGCAAAGACAGGCAGCGTCGGGCCCCAAGAGCGAGAGAGACAAAGGCCTCCTCGTTCGCCCTCGACTTAAACAATACTGGGGCGGAAGTCTTGATTATTTGCCTCATCCAGACTCCATTGTGGGACCTCTTCAGCCCATTTCACCCCGTCGCCCTCCCCTTCCCCTTTCCACCCTTCCACCCTTTACCCCTCCCCCTTCCCCTCCTTCCCAACCCCTCCTTCCCCTCCTTCCCAACCCCCTCCTCCTTTCCCCTTCGCTGCTCAATGAGTGAATCGCGTAGGAGAGCAAACCAGTTTATTCAACGTAAAGTTCTCCAGATTACAGAAAACTCTGCGGTACGACCCGAAGGTAGAAAATATGGGACATGATGAATGGCTACAGAACCTGCGTGGAAATAAGTCTCTGCAAAAAGACACTTAGATCTTTACCTATAAACACACAGACACTAAAGCAGATCAGGTGACAGGGAAAGACAGAGGGAGAGGGAGAAGGAGGGGAAGAGGCAGAGGGAAATGGAGGGGAAGTAGGAGAAGAGGGAGAGGGAGAAGAAGGGGAAGAGGAGAGGGAGAGGAGGGAGAAGGAGAGGAAGAGGCAGAGGGAGAAGGAAGGGGAAGGAAGAGAAGAGGGAGAAGGAGAGGAAGAGGGAGAGAGAGAAGGAGGGGAAGGGGGAGAGATAGAGGGAGAGGTAGGGGAAGAGGGAGAGGAAGGAGGGGATGAGAGGGAGAAGGGGGAAGAGGAGAAGAAGGGGAGGAGAGAGAGAGGGAGAAGGTGG